GCGGCGGGGGCTCTTGGAGAGCTGGAAAACCCGCCCGTAGTTCACATCCACACAGGGACCTGCGGGTGTGCAGAGGGAAGGGCCGAAACAGCCACTTTCCTCGAACGCATTTGCAAAGGTCCCCTCCGAGGAGCCGGGGATTCCTGGGGTGCAGCCGTCACGCACCCAAGAGCCGGGTGCACACCCCACCCCACCCGGAGGCTCCACGTTAGGACCAGGCAGACGCCGGCAGCCTCAGGCACGTCGTTGCACCGAGCAGCACTGTCCTGCCCTGGAAAAATAACAGCTTAAAGCTTTTCTGTAGAAAAGGCAGAAAGTAACAGCTCTACCCCCAGCCAAACAACTTCTTCGAAGTCGAGACCAGCTCGTGCGTTCCAGGTTTTATCGGCACATGCGGGCGGTGGCAGCTGCTAGGTCTAAGGGCAGCTATGGCCCCGATGCAAAGCTTTTCTTTGGCCCCAAGGCTCGGGGAGGTCTTGTCCCAGCCCCGGCGCCCACCTCCTCCGAGGGGCAGCCGCAAGCGGGGCCGGTGCTCGGCCCTCTCCCCCCCGGCACGCAGGGCCAGCGGTGCCCCAGCCAAGGCTTGGCGAGAGGGCAATTTAATGGGGCCGAGGAAGTAACCAATGCAAGTTTATAAAAGCTTTTATTTGCTCTTGGTACGACCAAGAATGGGACAGTGATCTTTTATACAATTTGATACAGTAAGTGGTACAAAAGAATGTGTTTTAAATAAAAAGCCAGAGTGGAGTAGCAAAAATATTAAAAGATTAAGTAAAAAATTGTAGGCATGGGAATTAATCCTAGACCTTAAGTTGATGCTGTTTTTCCATCATCCGAGTCCGAGAGCACGAAGCGCCGCTTTTACCCCTGCCCCGCACCGCCACGGCACCAGCAGCTCCCCGGGGCCGCGCCGAAGCACTAAACAGAAAGCAGCTAGCACACTCGTAGGATAGATTCAACCTCGGGTTTTAGTTTATCATGACCAATTTAATCAAGTTACATTTTTTGCCGTGACAAAAAGGTAGCGCTGAGCCTTCCTCCGCTGGCCGGGTCGGCTAAAGCCCCCCTGCGGCGGCACCGCCGGCACCGGGCAAAGCTGGGCGCGGGGAGAGCTGCTTTCGCATCCTTTTCTAGCTGGCCTTAGGCTTTATTCCACGCACAGGGCTGGGGAGGGGCTGTCTTCCAAGTAGAGGTTTCACAAGCAGTTAGGTTGCTAGCTAGCAGGAAGTTAAATACCGGCAGAAATAAAGTTACTGCAAATTCCTCCAACATGATTATTATTACTTTTTTTTTTTTTTTTTCTCCTTTTAGCATCTGCATCGACTCTCGCTGCTCACTCCTCCTCCTCGGCCGGGCCTTGCACTCCACAACACAAAACAAAGCCAAGCCACGCGGTTAAAATTCATGGTTTTTATACGAACAGAAGTAGACCGTCTAGAAATATTTCAGTTTATTAACTCGGTAAGGAGAATACGAAACGGAGGTGGTAGCTAGTAGTACCAGCGAGTGGCCTGTTCTCTACCTGTTGGCTTGCAATGAACACAGCGTCCACAAAGGATCCCGAGGGATTTACACAGAGGGAGCCAAGCCCCTGGAAGCAAATAAAAAGCTCACGTTTAAAACAAGGATTACACAAAGAAACCTTGATGTATAATTCTCCATTTTTTCCCTTTTTGATAACGTTAGAAAGTGCAGATTTAACCCAAAGGTAGCCGTACTCTATTTACAGCGCTGACCGGCAGGCGCGGGACGCGAGAAACGAGAGGGTGCCGATTTATCCGCCAGTCCCAGCGTCCTGCCCGACCCCAACAGCCACTCGACTGGGAAGGGTTAACACACACGGAGACAAAATGCCAAAATACAGAGGAAAAGGCAGACACCTCGGTCAAGTTACTACACGGGAAGCCGTTCAAAACTAGAAGTTCAATGTTAAAACACCGTCATTTCATTAGAATTAAATCAGCGTTATTTACTACTTTAATTATTTACCAGAGACAGTCCAAAACCCAAGCGGACAAGAGCGAGGCACAAGCTTGTCCAACTTTAAGGGAGAACGTGAGGCTCGGGGAGGAAGAAGTGTCTATTTAAAGTATCTTTTTGTCCTCGGCTGGAGCAGCTCTCCTACGTGGTATTGCAAATGCAAGGCGAGTGAACGTACGAACGCTCCTGCAGACTGGACGCCCGGTTCGGCGGGAGCGGTCGACAAAGACTGGCAGTCCTTAACCCCCTTCCTTTCAGAAACGACAAAGCCACGCCACCGGTGACACCGCGGCGAGGCCCGGAGCCGCGGGCAAAGCCGGAAGGCGAGCTGGAAAAGCAAGTTAATCCCGGGGGAGGGAAGCTCAGCAGCCCTGCTGGGATCACCCGCCACCTTCCCACGGCGCGGGAGAGAGGGCAAGGCTGACCCAAGTACCGATGACTCAGCTTTCAACACTGGAAAATGGAAAGTCTTCAGGGAGGTAATAAATTAAACTGCCAACTTCTTTTTTTTTTTCTTTTTTTTTTGGGAATCTAGTTTCACTCAGCCTTTTGCTAGGCTACCGAGCAACTCGTGGGGCGGCTAACAGTAAGAGAGAACTGAAAAGTTCATGTTAACTGCTGTCAGTTTGGGAATCGCATGTTATATTCATACACATAAAGTAGACAACCACATCACCCTCCATAGAAAACTAGTGCATGCAAATAACTCTTCCATATCATAAAACCCAACGGCTATGCAGGAGGAGAGAGAAGATATACTAGTGGACTGACATTGGCTAGAGGGAAATTAGTAGGTATCTTCAACATTTTTTACCTTGAAAGCTAAATCAGTGCTTTGTATTAAATTTTTGGCAAACATACCACGTTGCCATCCTTTTAATTAACACATCACACCATGAAGAAATGCAAATAAAAGCAGCATGCAGGCAAAAGGAAAGAGCTGCGAGTGGGGGGAAAAAAAAATGGCAGCAGGAACAGTTCTGAATGGCTAGATCACCAAAAAGGAGACACAGCAGATTAAATGTAATTTTTTTTTTTTTTTTGCACCACCCTTTGTCCTCGATGCATTACACCAACAATTACAGAAAGCAATCACAAAAGAGTTCAGTATTTTAAAAATGGTCAAGTATGGATGGTATGTCTCCTGCACATGCTTCCCACAGAAGAAAAGAAATAAAAAAAAAAAAAGTGAAAACAAAAGTTCCTTTCCACATAAGGCACAGGACAAAATAACTTTTTTTTGGGGAATCTAGTTTCACTCAGCCTTTTGCTAGGCTACCGAGCAACTCGTGGGGCGGCTAACAGTAATAGAGAACTGAAAAGTTCATGTTAACTGCTGTCAGTTTGGGAATCGCATGTTATATTCATACACATAAAGTAGACAACCACATCACCCTCCATAGAAAACTAGTGCATGCAAATAACTCTTCCATATCATAAAACCCAACGGCTATGCAGGAGGAGAGAGAAGATATACTAGTGGACTGACATTGGCTAGAGGGAAATTAGTAGGTATCTTCAACATTTTTTACCTTGAAAGCTAAATCAGTGCTTTGTATTAAATTTTTGGCAAACATACCACGTTGCCATCCTTTTAATTAACACATCACACCATGAAGAAATGCAAATAAAAGCAGCATGCAGGCAAAAGGAAAGAGCTGCGAGTGGGGGGAAAAAAAAATGGCAGCAGGAACAGTTCTGAATGGCTAGATCACCAAAAAGGAGACACAGCAGATTAAATGTAATTTTTTTTTTTTTTTGCACCACCCTTTGTCCTCGATGCATTACACCAACAATTACAGAAAGCAATCACAAAAGAGTTCAGTATTTTAAAAATGGTCAAGTATGGATGGTATGTCTCCTGCACATGCTTCCACCAGAAGAAAAGAAATAAAAAAAAAAAAAAGTGAAAACAAAAGTTCCTTTCCACATAAGGCACAGGACAAAATAAACCCCATTCACAGACTCAAGGCGAAAATGAGTGTTTTCCTGGCTCTTTTGCTGATGCATCTAGAGAGTATGGTGACTCAAGCACATTATCCATGACAGAAAATTCCACTGTTGTACAAAATAAATTGTTAATTCTAACTTTTATTCTTATACAATTTGCAGAATAGAATTGAATATGATTGCTATATGTTTTAATGTCAGGAGGAACGGGACTATAATACAACCAAAACGTAGTGGTAAGTTGAGCAGGTACATGAAAAAATGAAGTCACGGAGATGATTTTCCTATACATGTTGTTGAGAAAATTATAGTATGCAAGCTGTCCTAAACAGAAAAACAAAGGGAGACAGGAGCTTGTTAAGATGAGGAACAAAACATTGGTTTAAGGTTAAAAACGGGCAGAGTGGTTTGTTTTGCAGCGAGAAAAAAGGGGCGGTGGATGGCGATTGGTGATACAGGAGAACGTTCAGCAACACTTGCTCTTCCAGCCTGTCACCCCACCTCCACTGCTGATATCTACATTTTCACTGTTGGGCTCTTTTACAGGGGTCTGCAATGAAACAAGTTAAAAAAAAAAAAAAGTTAGATGACTCTTGAGTCATTCTGAAATAAAGTATTCAGAGCTGAAGAGATAGCGGCTTACAAAAAGACTCACATCACCAACTAATATAATGAATAAACTATGGACAAAGAGCTCTACAGAAATGCAGGGAATCCTCCTCCCCTTGCCAGCAGAAGTACGGAAAACCAATTTAAAGGGGTTTTGTTTTGTTTTAAATAAACAACAACTGGAAAAAGCTGTGGAAAAAAAACCCACTTTTGAACTTGGACCACCCCAAAGTAAACTAAAACTATTTCTAGATCCTGCTCTTAGAACTGACACTTGGACTTTGGTGGAGTAAGTAAATCACAGCGTACAACTGACACAAGCTGAAGTTAAATTATGTGAACTAATGACCTTAAAAAAAACACAGAGTAATTTATGGATAAAGAGGGGTTGTTCAAAAGCATCTGCCTTCCAGTTAGCCAGGACACCAGTTTCCGAGGCAGCGGACAAAACAGGCTCGTCTGCGTCACAGGATGTAAACTTGGTTAGACCAAAGCAAAAAATCAAAGTCCAGTGGTTTTGATCAGATGCTAACATCTACTTTCAGCTGTTTAGAAACTAACCTAAACATTCGCGAGAATACTGCAGTTCCATCTCTATATTCCTTTTATTATTCTCTTTGGCACAGCCTTGCAAAAGCAACCCCTCCCCCCCCTTCAGATAAATACACTGAGGCCCCAAAATAAAAATTTAAAGGTCAAAAGGGTCAACAAGACTTGCTAGCCTGACCTCCTGTTTACCAAAGGCCAGGGATTTTCATCCAGTTTCTCACATAAAGCTTGTCAAAAACTGATTAAGAAACAACTCAGAACTACAACGGCGAACCAGACGTTGTTGAGCATGCGTATTTAAAAGGGTTGCGAAAAGATTCAGCATTGACCTTGCACTAAATTTCTAACCAACTCACTCAGATGACATTATCACCAGCATTCGTGCAGGAGAGCGGTGGAAGATGGTGATGAAGGCAGTCTCGATACGGGGCAGTCCCTACCGCTAAGTTGGAGCACAAAAAAACCACATGGGGTCATTCGTTTAGGAGCAAAGCACATGTGCTAGAGTTGGCCAACCCATGTCTCTCGAGCTCCACAGAGTTGCAGTGCTGAAGAGGCACGACCTGATCGTAAGCAGGAACATGCTAGCACAGGGGTTACCGTGTAAATCAAGCCCTTGGCTATGGGAGTACGTCAACTAACTGGAACCAGCCCTGGAGCCACCCACGTATCCAGCCCGGTTCAATCCTGCAACAAAACAGTGGCTGCTACTGGAAGCCGATGCGTTTTCTGCTCATGAAAGATAGCAGGGATACAAGCACAGCAGTATCCTGTAGCTCTGGGCATACAAAGATTTGCGTACAGGCCACAGAAAAGACAACCATCTTTATGGTACGCTGTACGTTTCAGGAAGGGGAGCCAACCACCAGCATGAACTGGTGATCCACGTTCTTCTCTCAGTCGCAATATAACCATCCAATAAAACCTCCAACGAAATGCAGAGCCCGAGAGGGCTAATCATTGGAAACAAGGTAGGAAGTGACAGGGCTCGTTCATCTCTTCTATCAACCACACCTAAACTCTTCCCAACAGGCGCTTAAGAGTTTTTAGACAATGTTGCGTATCGATGGAGATAGTGGCAGGGAAAGGACAATTCTCTTCCACACCAACTGAAATGTTTTAACTCCAAGCACGTGGACGACACAACCATGAGTTTAAGGGCCGAACAACGATGAGTTTGCGTTCCTTGGCTCTGATGTATACTACTCTCTCTACATAGTACCCCTACAATAATGAAACGTCAAACAAGCTTTAGAAGCTTCAGATGAACAATTGTCCTCCTTCAGGGACTCGTTTGTCTTAGCGTGCCAAAGTCGAAAGCTGCAACAATTCAGGTAAACATCAAGAGCAACAGGAGCTGAAATTTTAGGATGGTTTTTTTTCCAAACAAAACCTGTAAGCACCTACCTTTCGAAGAATGTCTTCTGCTAATGTGAGGAATGCCTTCTCAATGTTTATATTTGCTTTTGCACTAGTTTCGAAAAACCTAATACCGTGCTCCCTAGCAATCTAAACCAAAAAAGAAAGAAGGAGGTTAGCATTACTGTAAAGTTACTCAACTGGCGCTGCTATAACTTCGGGATTAGCGGCATTTATAAGCATGTAATATTCTTTCAGCCATAGCAGGCATCAGAAGTACTAGCTAGGCAAAGTGTCACAAAGGAAGATTTGGAACTTAATGATTCAGAAAGAGCAATTAAAGTGTATTACATCTCAAGTTGATGTCTGAACGTAAGACGACAGATACCATACAAGCCTGTCACATGGTAAGTAACTCAAAGGATGCCTGAAAAGCTTTAGTTACCAAAGAAAGCAGAAACTGCAGCTGAACTCATTCCACTCATTGCAGCTCTTTGCAATGCAACTTCTGAGAAAACATTCCCTAGACTTACAAACCATTAGCAAATCCAGCCACCTTGTTCGTTCCCTGGCACATCCCGTTGTGGCATCTCAACCACCTGGAGATGGCGGGAAGTCTTGGCACTGATTTGCTCACTTTGATAAGCGAGTTTTTGTCTGACACTTACCTGTTCGCCTTTTGCTTTAGGGACAACTCTTTTATCTTCCATGTCACACTTGTTTCCTAACAGCATCCTCTCCACATCTTCATTGGCATGCTAAAATGAGACAAGAGACAGGTTTACACATCTCCCCCAACAAGCAGTAAATATCTACTTCACTTTTATATTTCCAGGCTGTTTGAAGTCCAGGCTAACGTTTACAGGTCTTGGTGTCCCGCACTTTCCTGAGTCGTAACAAAGACTGCTAGAAAACATTCTTCTGACAGTGCCTTTAGACTAAATTGCTCATATAACCTGGAAGTGGAATGAGACAACAGCTACAGGTTTGACACAGCTCTATCACCATCCCAACGCCAGTTATTTTCCCCCTTCCTTTTTATTTCTGTAGTTTAAGTGTGAAGTCTTCCTTTCTGAAAAAGACTAAGTGCTGTTCTGCAACCCAGATCCTTCTAGTTAATGACACCAGCCTACCAAATCTTCGTTAGTTTGCATTCAGTGACGTGGGAAAAGAATCAGCTTCCTGCCTGGAAGGAACCACTTAGAGGTGTTGGGTTTTACGTGCACTAGACAAGCACGTTACAGAAACAATGCTACAAAACATTATAGGAGAAGAAGAACCCCACGTCTACAGCTGCCAACAATCAAGCTTCAGGCACTGGAATGGCTCCAGCTGACACTACTACTGTTTTGGTGTTTAAACGGTCCTTTGCACAGTTTTATTGTAGACAGGTAAGTCTCCTTATCAATTGCAACTCTGCTTTCAACCACTGCAAAGCCAAATAACCAGGAAGTTAGTAAAAACCCCTTTTGCCTGTAATTTTTTTTTTTTTTAGAGGAGTTACCGAGTTAACTAACAAAGGGAAATTACAGCTCTCTCACATCATGCTGTTCCTCTGATGTCGCAATCATCAGAGCAAGACTGCATGTCAGCTTTGTGCTTCAGCTCTATCTGCTAAGTACTTCGCACAGAAGTTGAGAAACTCATGCGGTGAAATGACACGCAGACTATATACCAAGCGAACATAAAACAGGACATCACAAAGGGAAACAAAACTGAAGTGAGCACCACGCTAATGCTCAGGATCCAAAGAAAAGTAGGACCACATAGCAGGGAATCACCTTTGTAAGGCAAAAGCGACTGCCAATGCTTTCTCAAAGAATGCTGAATGAGCAAAAATACCTTGGCTGGTCAGATATTGAAGCACTGCCAATATCCATCATAGCAAGGAAAGAATACGCCAAAGATATACACCAGACTAGCAGAAAAGTTCCAGCAGCCACAGCACAAAGCATCACTTAAGTGGATAACTGAAGTAGCGGGCACTCGTCTGAGGGTAAAGGCCACGGCTCCAGCTGGTGAGTCTGCACCTGGTGAGTCTGCACCACCTACCCCAGCGGCGGCCGATACCTCCACCCACAGGGAGCTGCTGAAGGGAGAGGCTGCAGTGCAGACCTCAGGCTGCAGGACGCGCCTAGACCTTTGTCCTGGGGCAGGGACAGGCAGCAGACCTGCCTGCAAAAGGTGTGCCCAGGTGGAGGGCCTCCTGCAGGAGGTGGCTGAGCTGCAGGAGGCGGTGAGAAGGCTGCGTAACATCGGGGAGGCTGATAGCTGGTTCTAAGCACAGTCTGCAGTGGACCCACAGCCCACGGCCACAGAGCCAGAAACTCCCCCACTGGCACACACAGAAGGGAGGGGGACCAATAATGCAGAAGAATGGACGGTTGCAA